TCTGTAGTTAGTTGTGTAGTAGACTGTATATAGTTCAGTCCGCAATGAGGCCAAATAGAACGATTAGTAGACAAAATTATGAAAACTGTAGATCACTTTAAACGAAGCACTACTGCTACTGACATGCTTCTTGGATGTCAACTGAAAAACATAGCGGAATGTGGTGAACCCAAACGTTTAATTCAAAATGGAACTTTACATTTTTCATGTTACACCGGTTCCTTTTACTAAAAGAGGCGGTGAAACACTGCATGGCCATGTATATTGAGAGAGACTGGCCCAATATTAATTCAATGGAATGAGAGTTAATGGGCGTAGTGTGTACAGTCCTACAGTCCTTTTTGAAGATGTCACTTCTATCAGCGGTGAAGAATACCTGATAGGAAGTATGGTAATAATACTTCTTTTATCTTGTGATGACTTTGTACAAAGAAGAGTTCTCGTTATTCAATTCTACAACAACGCAAATAGTCATGTTTAATAATTAAAAATTTTGTACAACCGACTTCAATATAAATTATTAAGAATAACTAAAAAACTATTTGTCAGACCTTGATCATATGGAACCACATGAGAAGCACCAGCTTTCAAATAAAAAAAGAATCATCGAAATCGTGTGTTGTGGTTCACTCAGAAAAAAGTTATGAGGCAACACACATAAAAATTTTAAAATTTCATACGTGGTAGAGCCATGCTGCAGCTATATTTCTAGTATAGTTAAACGAATGGGTCGGGCTCGACCGGGGAAGGACCACGCTCTCACAGAATACCAGCGTAAAATAGCAGCTTAATGCTGTTGTGTTTTGTATGGTGAGTGTAGAGAACCGGAGACCCTTTTTACTGGAAACGAGGCATTCCATCTTAGTCCTCACGGGTGACAACGCATCTGCATTTTGATTCGTAATCGAGGATAAATGTAGATGTCTATGGGCCACAGCAACCACTTATCATCAGGTGGACTGTGTGCTCGTTTGTCACCCTTATCCTATAAAAAAAACATACAGTCGAACTGAGTACCTCCTCGTGTTTGAAGTCGTTAGAAAAATGGATTGAAAGACCGATTTGCTGGCGTAAAGCACAGTAAAACTTCTGTACTTTATTATAAAAATGAATACGCAGTCACAGATTTAAAACGAAATATGCAGTCATTAATAATAGGTATGACAACACGGAACTTATTCAAAGACAGCACATTTCATGAAGTAGTTGAAGAAATACGTTCTTCAGTTAATGCATGGAACAAATTGAGGAAAAGTAAACCCAAAGAAAGCTCTCTAGCGGTGGCTATACGAGAATTGTAAATGTACATAGATGACGAAATGCTACCGCGAAAGGTAAATGGAACAGTCCATCGATGTGCTGGCGAGACATCGATCATTAATAAAAAACTAGATAGGTACACAATCAGTGACAAAAAATGTCCTTACCATATGAGCGCCCACTCGAACATTTGGGTGCGCTTTTAATTGGTGTGGCTTTGTGAATACAACTTTAGGCAATGCGTTTAAGGTTGAATTTACATTAATGTATATTTAGTTCAACTAGAATTACGTCAAAACAGTTTTTATAGAACTTTTGCATGGGATTGTGTAACTAGTTTTTTATTAGTGGTCAATGTGGCGACACCACACAATCAATAACTTACCGCGTTTGTCTGAAATGTACCCCAAAAAGTGGAACATGTTTGAAGCCATCTGCCAAACAATGTACACGTGTAATCTGTGGATTAACTGTATACAGCGGGCTATCATGCTTCTCCGAGTTCAATATAATAATGCCTTCAGAGTGATGTTAGGACTCCCGCCATCTTGCAGTGCATCAGGGATGTTTGCGCAAACGCACATACATGCATGCAAGCTGCAATAAACCAACGAATCGCAACTCTTATCCGCAGAGTTTATTTTGTAAGTTTTTGTGCTAACACTTTTGTGGACCAAAAGTCTGAAATAAATTAATTTTATTTTATATATATATTTGTTTATTTTTATTGTGGCGACGTGAGTTCCTTGAGATCAGCCCTGTTACTTTCTATAACACGGCTGATCATTAAGGAAAAGTAACTCAAGCCCCACAAAGTTAAAGAAATTACATTTTTAAATGAAAATCACGATAAAAAACGATTATATAAATGAAAAAATATAAAGGAAAAAATCTAAATACGTCTGTAAATATTTTTACGCCTTCTGTATAAGTTCATGTCTTAGTGATTGTCAAAATTTTTCAACTGTCAAAAGCTACGTATATTTAACTTATTTTATTTTGTTATTTAGAGACCAATTCTGCCTTACAAATTTCAACAAAAACAACAAATATTTCTGCTGCGTCGTTGTCAACTGTCAAAGCATAACGACTACATACAATTTTTATCGACATGGAATAAATCCAATTATTATAGGATATGTTAACAAACTTACAAAACTGTTGGTCAATGTTTTATACAAATTTTGGAGGCCAGTCTTGTATAGTACAACCATGCGTACATTAACGCTTAAACAAATTCTACAAACTTCACTAGAGGCCATTCCTATTTCTTATAGCTGTAATAAATTGAATTCTTTTTTTCAGAAATATTAAAGTGCAGTATGACTGCGCTAGCAGTTCTTATTAGTTTGTGAGTATGGCAGACAGTTATTTTTTTAATCATGGCAACTTAACAATGAGGGCTAATAATATTCCGCTCACCAGATGTCGCTAGTTGACACTAAGGTGATATTTTTGTTATACAATGTCATTTAATTGAGAAGTTAGTTTTAAATAAATGTTTATCAGTTTCTAGAGTATTATATTAATACACAAAACAATGCTCAGTGGTTTGCTCTTTAATATTTTGTACGTTTTTAACTCTTTTTTTTTCTCTTTTTATTAATATTTGAGGTTTGGTTTATTTTTTATAAAATATAACTAAAAGTACAGAAAGAAATCTTAACCTATAAATTTTTCAAACATATAAACTTCCTCGGTATGAAATCTGTCAAATATTACAACTGAATTTTAAGTGGCGCCGCCCTGGTGGCAGAAAAACTCGTGGAAGCCATCATTACTGGCAACCTTCAGTCAATACATACTTGTAAGAAAACGACGAAAGATATATAGGCGCAGTGCAAGCAAACCTAAGGTTGAAAACTGCTAATTCAAACTATTTATAAAACACACAAATACATCGTAGATATATCGATCTGTATAAGAATATAGTAATGCCATCAAAAACATAACTTGTAAAAAAACCCTAGTCTCGCAACTCAGTTCTTCTACCGTAAAAAGTTGTGAGATCCATGTAATACCAAGTCGGTTAATGTATTCAGTCATACTTGAGGGTCCTTCTGTCTTAAGTTATTACGTAATTAGCTAACCTAACAACATGACCATATCAATATTAAAAATCTTTTATGTTTTAAATAAAAAAATTGACTTGGTAATCGCACTAAACTATCTAATTTAATGTAATGTGTATTACTTAAGAGATACATTGTGTTTTCATGCCTAAATATGTATAATATGATGGTATATATTCCATCATATTATACATATTTAAGTACACTGATTCATTCACTGCAAATGTAACTTTGTAATTCTATATATTTATATGGGATTACAAAGTTATTAATGCAGTTGGTGTATCTCGAAAACTAGACCGAAATTGCAAAATATTTTAGTTTTCCCTTGATTTATATACTAAACAATGATTGTATTCCAAATTTGAAGCTTATATGTCTGCTAGAAGTGCCTTAGAGTTTTGATGATCGGTCAGTCAGTGAGTGACAAAATTAAGAAACTTTGACTAGTTATAACTTTTAAACCACTGTTTCAAATTTAATTAAATTTTAAATATACTGAGTTTATACAATGCCTACTTGGTGACTGAATTCAGGCTTCTAGTTCTATCCACAACGAAGTTATAGGGTTTCGAAAATGGCCTGAACTGCTTCGAGAAAAGGATGGTACGGCCGTGCCGATTTTTTGCTCGACTTGGCGGGGGCACTGCCGTGCCCCCAGATGAGATTTATTAAGTACGTGTATATTATAACCGAGTACAAAATTCCGCCAACAAGTCTATGAGTTAGTAAGTCTGTAAGTTTGTTATTTATGTAATGCTTTGCGGTTAAATCACGAAGTGCATTTATTTTCGATGTCATTAAGTCTTGACTAACCACTATCTGAACTAATCTATTGTTTAAACTATGTAACGAAATCACACATAACACTAAACAAAAAGTATATCGGTACAAATATTGGTCGATAGTTTATATAAACTTCTATAATATCCTTATGTTTAATGAGGTCTAAAAAGCTATTAGGCACTAAGATACACAGTATGTTGCATTATTCCTATTTAACAGACTAAAAAGCGGAGTTTTAAAAGACAAAAAGTTAAGAATTAAAACTGGTCTATTTTAAAATTATTAGTGACTTGTAACACTCATTTGCACACACACACACACACACACACACACACACACACACACACACACACACACACACACACACACACACACACACACACACACACACACGCACACACACACGCACGCACGCACGCACGCACGCACGCACGCACGCACGCACGCACGCACGCACGCATACACACATAACCTTAAAAACTTACACATATCAATCAGATCTAGATTTTAGGGAATCTACACTAAATAGGAGGTCAAAAGTATTATTGGCAAACTAAAATTTGGGGGTGTATAAGGAAACGGAAATTAAATGCTTAATTTCACCCCCCCCCCCAACCCTCCCCCTTATTTAAATCGAGTTCTATATTGATGAAGTAAATTGGTTATTTTCATTTATTAGGGTTTCTTAAAAATCTTTTTAAGAAGTCTAGTCTTTTGACACTATTTCTAGAACTGATTTTTTAATGATTTTATCACAATTTCTAAGGAGTGGTGCGATATTTCCCCAATATTAACCCAACCCAATAGGTTCCCTCTAATTTCAACTATAATTTCCCACTTAACCGAAATTAGTCGCGGATGTTTTTCACATAACCGCTCCACTCAGACGTGCTTGTTTTTTATGGGATGGCCAGCTTTCCTCCGTCTAAAGTTGCCCATTTGTCGTAAGATTTGTACATTTTCGTCGTCATCCTCCCTGTCCATACCCGAGGTTCCAGGCAACGTTCCCCATAGTTTCAGCTTACCTGGCAGGTAAATAAGTCCTAGGAGAGTGATTACTGAAACAAGACATATTATACACGAGTTTTAGCGGTTTTATGGCAATTTAAAATTAAATGAAATATCTTTCATCTTGTATTCCATTTAGTGGCATTCATCATCATTTCTTAATCCTTCATTTTCTAATCCACTACCGTTTTAAAGAGAGTTCCATCTAATCGGCGAAAGAAACTAAAGTATCCTCCTTTTATATTTTTAAACAAAAGCCACGTAGGTTGTTCGTCGCCTTATACGTAAGGCCTCAAAGTGACACCTGTGTGTGGTGGAGAAAATCAGGTCCACTACTTCAACAAGAAGAAACCCGTATGGGTTTGCTAATTTAGTGTGTGAAAGCATTCCCGTAGTTCCAGCAAACGGAGTGGTTATACACCGTGGGATTGTAACCGGTAAGAGTCCGGCAAAAGCTGTTATGAGGATTTCTCCATGAACAAAAAAAGGGTGTAGGTCTGATAGAATACAGTCAGGTCCATATGTTTTACGTCCTAGAGGCACGCTACAACATGTTTTCTCTGCAGTATACAAATGGCTCAGCTCGACCGGGGAAGTACCACGCTCGCACAGAATACCAGAGTGATGCTGTTGCGTTTTGTATGGTGAATGACGAAAACCGAAGACACTTATTGCTGTTAACATGGCATTCCATCCTACTCTTTAAGGATTTTTTTTTATACAAAACTTGACGAACTTACAAACCTGGATGGTACAAGTCGTGGCACGTAAGTCTAGCGCTGATCGAAACGTGGAGGGGACGCGCACGAATTGAATTGCACGAATGCGATTGGAGAACCAATCAGAGCGTGCGAACGATACGCACTAGCCAATCAGCGCAACTTATGCGCAATAACGGTCACCGCTAGACTTTCGTGCCGCTACTTATGTCAGTACTGCAGTCCATGGACTCTTGCAGCCAACTTTAAACAAAGAAGGCTACGGACGCGTTGTCACCTGTGAGGACTAAGCTGGAATGCCTCACGGCCTATTATTATTATATTGGCTTTCTACACCTTTCAGACTGGACCACAGTAGTACAATCACCGCTAGTTGGCAAGTAACAGGATAGTACCTACCCAGACAGATTCACAGAAATGGAGTCCTACCACTCAATCTACTTGCCAAGGGTGACGATACTACTTAAAGAAATAATTTCATACGTGGTAGAGCCATACTGCAACTATATTAGTAGTATAGTTGTAGCACGAATGGGTCGGCTCGACCGGCGAAGGACGCTCTCACAGAATACCAGCGTAAAGTAGCAGCTTAACACTGCTGTGTTTCGTATGGTGAGTGTAAAGAACCGGAGACCCTTTTTACTGGAAAAGAGGCATCCCATCTTAGTCCTCACGGGTGACAACGCACCTGAATTTTGATTCGCAAACGAGGATAGATGTAGATGTCTATGGGCCACAGCAACCACTTACCATCAGGTGGACTGTGTGCTCGTTTGTCATCCTATCCTATTAAAAAAAATATATTAACTTTGGCCAGTCAGTCAGTATATTTACGAAAATTTAACGTAGGTTCACAAAAACAAAGATAGTTTTAGTAAAAAAAAAAGTGATATACACTCTGTAAACACTAGGACCGGTTTCTTGACTCCACGGAGTCAGTAATTCAATCTTGGGGCAATGTATACGCTATTACAATAAAGTCCCAGAAAATATACAAGGTATCTCTATTACAAAGTTTAAATATTTAATTAAACAAAAGCTGTATAAAAAAGGGTTATTATAATATAAATGAATACATGGTTGATAATAACCCCTGGGAATGAGGTGGTCGCTTCCAAGCTGTTCTAAAATAAATTTTGTAAATAGTTTGTTATCGTTTATATTGTAAAATATATTTAAAAAAAAGTACCGCTGGGTTTCTTCTTTCCAGGACAGAGGATTTTTTTCGAACCAGTGGTAAAGTAAAAAAAGACTTTCAATAAGAATTACTTACTATTGAATAAAAATTATTCTATTCTATTCTTTAATTATTGTAAATAACAAATGCTATTCAAGTTTGTCATCGCTCAAAGATATGTATTACACAATCTTTTCTACAGTAGGGCCTCGATAAACAGAACACTCAAAATTTACACCCTGTTCGGATTAATGAAATGAATCTTCAGGGTCAAAGTCATCCAGACCTTGGCCAGAGGTTTCCTCTGGTTTGAATAACGAGGGCCACAAAGGCTTTCAAGGTTTTTGATCAGATTTGAGAACATTTGATACCAACATCGAGTCAGAACAGATACTGCATCTTTCGTGGTGTTTTTTTTTAACAATTTCAGATATTGTACATTCTGAATGAACGAATAATGTGTTTTTTTTTTGTATGTCACTTTAATGTTCTGCATTAGGTCCATTCGCTGAATTAAGGCTGTACAGTTAGTTTCTTAGGATCGGCACTGCAATATTCTGTGAGACAGCGGCTTGCAAGAGCAAGGGGTTGTTCGGATTACAGAGGCGTTCGGATTATCGGGGGTTCGAATTACAAAGGCGTTCGGATTATCGGGGGTTCGGATTATTGAGGCTCTACTGTATATACGTCACAGACAACCGGACATATTATTTAAAAAATATATTAACATCAAAATAATACTTACTGTTTAATATACAAGGGAATACGATGTAGAAGTTTAGATTAGTGGAATGAAAATAGAAGGCCTCCGTGAAGTACAAAATGATGGTCAATGTTAGTGACCAATAGCCCATTGATACCACTCTGAAAAAGAACAGACTTATTATCTTCTGATAGTGAGAAATAAAAAAATCCAGTACACAAAAGAGTTTTATATATAGTAGAGCCACGCTGCAGCTATATTCTGTCTACAGCACGAATGGATCGGTCCGACTGTGGTAGGACCAAGTTTTCACAGAATACCAGCGTAAAATAGCAGCTTAATGCTGCTGTGTTTCGTATGATGAGTGTAGATAACCAGAGATACTTTTTATTGGAAACGAGACATTCCGTTTTAGTCCCCAGGGATGAACAACGTGTCCGCATTTCCATTCTTAATCGAAGACAGATATAGATGTGTGTGGGCCACAGCATCCATTTACGATCAGGTGGACTGTGTGCTCGTTTGTCACCCTATCCTATAGAAAAAAAGAAACCTCAGTGTCAACTAGCGACATCTGGTGAGCGGAGCGGGAGTAATATCACCATCACCGCACCACAAAGCCGCGGACATTTTTTTAATTCTTTCATAATATAAAATATTCCTATTTTGTAGGTACAAGGAAAACCAGTTCAAACAAATACTTTTTCTTCTATTAAAAGTGAAAAGTGTAAAAAAAAACAGAGGCAGTCGTAAGGACTGCCGACTGAAGCGAAAACTCAATGATGTAATATGCGTACAGATTAGCGACGCGTATAGTAGTTATGCTCGTGACGTATTGTGTATGTCGAGGTCATCGGTGACGCGAATCCATAAGTTTTTCCCCTACCAAAAAACCTAAAGAAGTTTTCACTTTAAAAATATTATATTGTTACAACAGCCAGTTGCATTGTACGAAAACCTCCTAAAAAATAAAAATCAATGGCCTATGTCAATAAAATGTAGTGTGTGTAAGCAGGTAAGAATAGACAACAAATGCAAGCAAGACACAACCGTATGTATACACATATAAAACCTTCATCGTTTGAACATGTTGTTAATCGTGAGTTTCCTAGTATCCTTCTATGGAAAGAGGTGAACAGATGAATGAGGTAAAGGAGATATTTGGAGGTGAAAAAAATGAGAGGTGTATGTGAGGATTATGCCAAATGGAAGTCTGAAGTTCTTCGATTACCTCTCTGGGTGACTGTGGGAGTTTACATACATATGTATGTATGTGAATCAGGATAAAGTTAACAATCGCCTTGTCCGCGAAAAAGACAATAGTTAAACAAACAAAATGTTCATATATGACTCACGGGACAGTGAAAAGGTTAATATTGTTATTAATAATTTCAATGGTGCTAGCAAGGATCCAACTTAAATTAAAACCAAGAACTCTTCATTGCTTTATGTTTTACTTAGTATAAGCCAACGCTTTACTACAATCCGGTAGCAAACGGTGAAGCCTTAGAATCTGCTGGCTTCACTTATAACAAATAATAATAGATAATTTAAATAAAAGCACAAGTCAATACTTACGGTTTGTAATGTATATAGAGTGTGCAGTGAATAAGTGCCAGAGCTTTCAGCACTGAGTACATGCCAAGCATACGAGATATCGTGAAGTCACCTGCAATAAAATTTTACTTTTATTAATCTCTAATGTTTTAGTAATTTTGTTTTCTTTCATTTAAATTTACTATCTTAAAGTTAAAGTTACAGTATATATACGTCCCACTGCTGGGCACAGGCCTCCCCTCATTTCTAAGAGGGTTTTAGGGCAAGGAAATGTCCACCGCGCTGCCCCAATGCGTGTTGGTGAACTTCACATTTCTTCGAAATATATTTTTTTCTTATTATATATATATACTCAGACATGCATGTTTCCTCACAATAATTTCCTTGACCAACGAGCAAGTGGTAAATCAGCACTTAAAATTGCAATTAACAATTTCATTGGTGCCGGCAGGGATTGAACCCGGATTGCTCGCGTACTGTGAAATTTACAGCGAGCGCTAAACACCTGAGCTACCAAGGCTACTGATATCACTGACCATTTAAAAATATTTTTTGACATTATATTATTTTATTCATCATCATCATTCATCTTTACAACTCTTCATAAGTCCACTGCTGAACATTGGCCTCCCCCAAAGAATGCCACAAAACAAATCATGGTCCTGAGTCACCTGCATCCATCGACTTCCTCCTTCCTTTGTCGGTTCTTCGAGCTATATGGGCGGCCCATTGCCACTTCAGCTCACTAATCCGTTGGGCTATGTCGGTTACTCTGGTTCTACTGTGGATATCCTCGTTTCTAAGTTTATCAAGCAGAAAAATTCTAAGCTTATCCCTCTCCATAGCTATGAGTTTCCTCATACAGCCAGCAGTGAAAGACCACGTCACAGATCCATAAGTCATCACTGGCCACACGCATAGGTTGTACAATCTCGTTTTCAAGTTTTGAGGTAGACCTGACGATAAGATGTGTCGTAATTTCCCGAACGCTGCCCAGCCAAGTTGAATCCGTCGATTGACCTCTCGGTCGAAGTTGGACTTACCTAGTCGGACTATTTGTCCCAGGTAGACATACTCGTCAACAACTTCGAGCTTAGCGCTCCCAACACTACTAGCATAGGTGTGACATGGACGTTACACATGATCTTTGTGTTGTTCATGTTTATCTTAAGACCTATTTGTTGGGTGGCACTATTGAGGTCATTGCGCAATTCTTAGTCCTTAGCCCTCCAGCGATTCTGCCATATGGACTATATCGTCGACAAATCGACGGTGAGTGATGTACTCTCCATTGGTGTTAATACCGTATCCTTTCCAGCCCAGTAGCTTGAAAACGCCTTCCAACGCAGCGGTGAAGAGTTTCGGGATATAACGTCACTGCCACACTCGGTCTTCAGCTTCGACAGTTGCCTCTTTCTGGCAGACAGATCTCAAGCAAGACCTTGGAACCCTGGTTCCACTAGATCGCTTCTTCAATACAAGCTGTGTTGAAGTTGCGTAAGTCCCGCCGCATGCATTAAGAGATATGTCTGTTTAGTTGTCTGTATGCTATTGAATCTGCTGAAGACTGTAGCTTCACTTCCCATCTAAGAGCCATGAGATTAAGAGTGTGATTTGTGTTTTTTGCAGAACTTAGCTCAGACCGCATGGACGGTTTCCACGAACTTGTCATTCATAACATCCACTGTAATGCATTGCAATCTTCTAGGCACTGAAAACGGTTTTGCAACTCGAGCTAAAATTTTTTGGGAGTTTGGGTTAGAGCAGGAAAGATCGTTGACTTCATCAGACATGACCTTTCTAACTTAATGTTTAGGTTCAGTGAGCCTTTGTGCTTTTTTTAAAAAAAAAAGTCCCACTGGGTTTCTTGCTGGTTCTTGCCTGGACAGAGGTATTTTTGCGAACCAGTGGTAAAAGTAAAAAAATGACTTTCAATAAGTATTGTGTACTGTAATCCTTATTGAATTAAATGATTCTTATCTATTTTATTCTTTAACGATTCGGTAATTGCTGCCAGTTTTCACCCTTGTGATCACTGAAAGATCAGTGAACAATTGCCATCTAGTTGTCATAATGACGTCAATTTCATTCTTTCTTCAATCGTCGGGGTTCAACCAGGTCCACTTCCTGTGGGGCCGCTTCTGGAAGAAAGAGTTCATAATAAAGAGTCCCTTTTCTCCATGAAGTCGGCCAGCTGCTGGCTCCTTAGGTTCGGTTGCCCTAACTTCAGCTCACCATTCTCTTTTGTGCCTGGTTTTCATTATTTTACTAAAGTTGTAAATGTAAATTAAATTATCATATTCTTTAAAAGATGGTCTTGGTTTTGTGAACCTATGTTTGACGTCCATAATAACTTTACACAAGCCTAAATTAAATGAAAAGTTGTGTTGTCTTTAATTGGCATATATATCAGAAATTTTAAAATTTATGGTACTTCTTTAAATTTTCTAAATGCTGATGATATAGTTCATATATAAATAAATAAAAAATACTCTCTTTGACACCACTCATTGCTTGTTTTTAACTTTGTGTTAACAAGTCTCCTCTCACTTGAAAAAGTTTATAGAGAGCAGATGAGATTCTCCACTGATATATATTTATATATAAAAATTACGTGTCACGTTGTTTGTCCATGATGAACTCCTAAACTACTGAACTGATTTCTATGAAATTTTGCACACTCTGTGCAGTTTGGTTCAACTTGAGAGATAGGATAGTTTATATCCTGATAAGTGACACTCAGTATTTTTTTATTACGAATTTAAGCATTTTTTATATAATGGGTCGTCGAAAAGGGCAGAACAACGTCTGCTTGGCCAGCTAGTTGTTTTATGAAATTGAAGTCACAAACTTACAGGTCACCTGATAGTAAGTGGCTCCTGGACATCTGCCACCAACTTCAAACAAGGAAGGCTACCGCCTCTGAGGACTAAGATGGAAAACTTCACAGCCTGTAATTAAACTGGCTTTTTATACCCTTAAAACCAGAAGGTAAGGTGAGTGACCAGAGACCGTTTTTTAATGGTAACAAGGCAGTCCATCTTATGCCCAGTTTCTGAAGTTCTCATATATATTCCCATTAGTTATTGATTCATTAAAGTTATCTACAGGATAAACATTAGTTAACTGTCATTGTGTTTCTGAATATGCAACAAATCATTCAACAACTATGAAACCAATAACAAGCTCCATAATTTACACTAGATGGGTCTGTTCAATTGATTTTATTATTTCAATTCTTCATTAATACTAGTTTTATTTATAATCATACATTTTTAGTTAGTTAGTATTATTTATAATAATATAGATTAAATAAGTGAATAAGGACTGTTTTAGGAATAAATTATGATAATACAGTCGCTGATAAATACCATATTTATCAGCAACTGTATTTGAACAACATCATTGTCAAATTTCAAAAAAGAAAGGCTTACTCATTTTTTCTGTTTCGCAATTTCGCCCGTGTTATATTTTTCTTAGCTTTATCCTTATATTATCTAGCAAGTTTCATTTCTTTTATAAATTAGCAGTAAAGTTAATGTCATAGTACTTGGAAAATACCTGTAGGGTAAAATTATAATACTATTTATTACGTACTATATTATGTATTTTATATTTATGATAATAATTAAATTAAAAATAATAATAACAAAAGTAAACTCCATTCTTCCAAATCAGACTGTGATGAGATACTCATAATCATAACATTTACATAATATGCTTATATACTTTATATGTTTTATCCTCTGAATATTTTAATATTTATTATTAACTGGCCATTTATTTTAATAATATCACGTTATAAACTAAAAGTTGATGGAGTTTGCTTGAAATAAAATGTAAAAAAATTTATGAAACCGATAAACGGCACACATTGGTCAGTTAAGTTAACCTTTTCTTTATAGGAGGGGGCAAACAAGCATGCGGCTCACCTAATGGTAAGTGACTACCGCCGCCCATGAACAACTGCAACACCAGGGGAATTGCAGATGCAATGCCGGCCTTTTAAAAAGAGTAGGCTCTTTTCTTGAAGATCCCTAAGTCGTATCGGTCTGGAAAAATCGCTGGTGGTAATCGATTCCACAAGGAAGTTGTGCGAGGAAGAAAACATCTTCTAAATTGCACAGTGGTGGACCGCCAATCATCCAGATGCAATGAATGGTATCGCGAGTTTTATCGCGATGTGTGATGGTGAAATTGAGCGGCTGTAATTACTCCAAACAATTCCTCAGAGCACTCCCCGTGGTAGATGCGATAAAATACGCAAAGAGATGCAACATCTATTTGCAGCACCAGTGAATCGAGCCAATCAGAATGGACTTGGTCATCGACGATTCTAGCTGCTCTGCGCTGGATGCGGTCAAGTGGAAGGATTTTTTACTGGGGAGCCCCAGCCCGGAGATGGGAACAGTATTCCATGTGAGGTCGAACCTGCGGAAAGTTGCAGGCGGTGTGACGGCATGAAATACTGTCCCGCTCTGCTAGGCATGCCAAGCTTTTTAGAGGCCAATTTGGCCTTCTCTTCCAAGTGACCGCCGAGGATTCCGATACTGGCAGAGGCAACAAGAGGAGTATCTTGAAACTGAGGAGATACGACAAAGGGGTTCTTATTAGTGGTAAACACACATACTTGTGTCTTCTGTGGATTAAACTGGACTAGATTTAGTCGCCCCCAATTCGAGACTTTGTTCAGCAAAGACTCAACTTCAGAAATGAAAAAAAGTTTGTCCCAGTACTTGGCGACGTTTTCCCGAGAAATATTGGCACGGTCGGTGTATAGAGCATCACCAGTGCTGTAATCTGCATAGCAATGAATGTTACTCTTAATTTATGTAACCTGATGTTAAATTAATGTAACCTAAGTTTAAACAGAGTTTATCTTAGATTGCAATGTTCGGAAACACACTTTCTTATGTTATCGAACCAATAACTCTAACAAATAGATAAACTGCTGATAGAAGTACTTCAGAAACGGAGCATTAGTCCCCAGGGGTAACAATGCATCTGTATGTTGATGTCTGTGAGTGTCGTAAGAGATGATAGGAGAAAGAAAACAGGAGACGGGCAGCTGTATTGATATTGTATGACTACAAATCTAAATAATAAGAAACTGTAGTAAGGTTTGGACACTATGGCAAATATCCAATAATCCTATGAGGCAACCTATAAGAAAGGTCAACTTTCAGTAGTGGACTTTTGATAGATTTTAGTGAATGAATTAATAAAACAAAGGACAAAAAGAGTTTCAAGACAACATATAGATTAAATGCTACAGAAATCATTGACTTGTCATCCTTTGGTATATTTAAAAACAGATTCAATAAATGGCAATCTAAAAAGAGATATTACTGAATATTCAACATTAATTAACATAAGATATAGACCAACCAGCATTTATGCTTCTCGCCAACATACATACATAGTCACACAGATATTCATCCAGTCATAAAAATTTGGGTATTATTACAAGTTACTTTGCTTATGAAAGAAGTAGACTACATTTTAATATTGCATTTTATTCACAACTATACATATTCTAACTTCAATACTGGTGTAACTTCAATACTGGTTCAAAACAGTGTAACATGATATGCTTATTAAACAGCACATTTTTGAAAAGGTTTATGTTTAGCAATCGACTTAAAAAAAGCTGACAACCACCAGCATAAATTGAATGTTTTTATTAGGGAATAGATGTGAATTTTTGTAATTTTTAGTTTGTATGTTTTTGAAGAAGCTTACCGTCTAAGTGATCACTGTCCCCATTATTACTTAAAAATGATCTTCTTTCTATATAAGACCGCCCAGCGGTTCCCAAATCCACAAACGCCACGAAGGCTATCCACCCGCGAAATGCATACAGGACTTTATTTTGAACCGCCATAACCTTTTATATCTTAATCAGATGAAAATTACGATCTTCAAGACTTAGTTTTAACACGGTAAATATTTAAAACATTACTTTTACGTAAATTTCTACAATATAGTTACAGATTATATGAATTATAATTGAATTAACCTGTCTGGAATTTTAAGTCTAAACAGTCGAGGACAAATTTAACGAGCTTCGCAATGCGGCATTTCACCTGCAGTGTATACTTTCATTAAAAAATTATGTTTTAAAGGCAACACCAACACCAACACCTCCCGCGCAGAAGCAGAAAACAACATTACAGCACCATACACAGTGACATTAATGTCACTGTCACTGTGATAATGTCACCACTAAAATCTGACTTATAGCGTTCAATAATTAGAAGATTTAAAATTAACTGACTAAGTCTGAAAATAATAATTTTAAAAAATCTGGAAAATTACTTGCTGCATAAGAAGCAATCCACTTACACAAGAAGATTAATATGAAAGAAAAAAAATCTGTGGGTAGGTATCAGATCTCTTCGAATAATCCTAATTTGGGAAAACAAATATTCAAATTATATACAATATTAAAAACTATAATAATAAAAATAAAATAAAACTAGAAACTTAATTATCATATAGTCCTACTCCCCGCGGTATCGTGCCAAGAACGCTGGCCGCTTTTCCCCGCTGAATGGCTATACTTAGCCTTTGAGCGAGGAAAGAACCAGCCCTCTTATTACCAGCAGCAACAACCAGCCGCGGATGGAGTTTCTTTAAGAACTTCACCGCACGTGGACCCCACGGACCGATATTCTCTACAGCAAATGGCACAAATATGTAGTCATCTCTCTCAGGCTCTAAAACCAAGGGAACATTGACTACATAGAAAACAAATACTGGGAGGTTAGTGTAAAAGTGTCGTTGTGTTTTTGGCTGTTTCTTATTCTGAGAGCTGTTGATTTACTTTTTTGTTTATTATTTCTGTTGGTGTTGGTTTTAGTAGTTAGAAATCCGTAAGTATTTAGTAATTGTGTTATTTTATATGTAATTAGTTAAAATAAAATGGAGGAAGATCCTCCCGATCCCGACGGGGTTCCAAAAAAAAAATAATATGCCTATCAAATTGATCAGTTGAAGCGTAAAAGATTGCAAGCAACCAATAACTCAGCTCATCCTCAGAAAAGATTAATTACAGATCCATCTCAATCTGTACCATCTATTCAGACCTCTTATACCCATCCAGACTAGATAGAAAAAAAAAACATAAATATTCTAATAACGACAATACGCCATTCATGGTAAATGTAAGTAAGAGAGTAGATGATTTATCAACTGGAGTAGTTTTAAACTCGATAAAGTTTGGTCATTTTCTCTACCATAATAATATTTAAAATGTTGTTAGTGATGGTGTGGACTGGACTAAAATTCTATTGCGTCCAACTCGCTTAGGACGCAATAGAATTTTAGTCCAGTTTAAAAGTGCAGCTGATGCAAATTGTTTTATTGAGAACCCAGCTCTTGCAGGTGCTAAATATGATACTGTACTGTACTGTACTGTGTTTATTATGTTCAATTGTTTATGTTTTGATGTTATTCTGTTTTGTGTACCTAAATAAATAAATAAATAAATAGTTTTTTCATCTCAATGCCTGTTGAACCCTACGTTTTACCTCTTATTCAATGTCACAAATGTTGTCGTTTTGGACATGTAACCTCACAGTGTTGGTCATCTTCCCGTTGTTTTGTGTGTGCTCAAAATCATGAAGGAATATCATGCACAAGACAGTCTCCCACTTGCCTATTTTGTTCAGGATCTCACACGGCTAAAGATCCTACTTGCCCTGAACACTCTAGGCAGAGATCTATCAAACTTACCATGTCACAGGAAAATATCTCCTTATGCAGATGCTGCTAGAATCCTTCCTTTGTATGATCATCAGAGTCCCTATCCTATTTCAAATTCCCCTTTAGCTTCAGTTGTCCCCTCACAATCTCATTCTTAAAGGAAGACTACATTTACTCGAAGACTTCCGCCAAATCCAGCATTAAGTCATGGATATGAAAAATCTGCCCATGAGGTAATAATAGATACCCCTTCTTCTTCAACTACTAATGGTTGTGCTTTAATAGGACGGAGTATTTCCCCTAATGACAATCTCTGTGAGTTAATGATCTCCATGCTTATAAGTATGCTTTCCCGTTTCAGTGATATGGATCTCCCACTTGCCCTCCCCCAAAAACTTACTGAGCTCATTTCATTAACAAATAACCTTTCCTTCAATACTTCAGTAAGTGCCGGAGCATTAATAATAAGAAAAATGAATTAATTTACCTTATTAATAAATACCATCCCCTCATCCTAGCCATCCAAGAGACATGACTGGGTCCCATTTTAGGATCTCAGGTTATTCATGCCTCAGGGATGATAGGAATGATGGTCATGCTGGCTCTTTCATTCTTATCTCAAAATCAATTATTTATACATTAATTTCCCTTCCTTCTCATAGTCCTTCAATTAATATTGTAGCAGTTAGAACTCACAACAATTCTTTTCTTTCTATTTACATTCCCGAATCTTGTTTAAATATCTTATCAGAACTTACGAGGATTATATCCTCCATCCCTCTTCCTATGTTAATTCTTGGTGTTTTAATATGCATCCCATCTTTGTGATCCCTGGTCTTCTACATTTTCAAACATCATTGATGATTTAGATCTCTGCCTCCTTAACGATGGTTCACCTACGCGTAGAGTATCCCCCTCCAAAATCCTAAAAGTGCAGTAGATCTGTCACTCTGTTCTCCTTCTCCGTCGTCCCTTCTTTCTTGGAGAATATTACCCTTTTCCCATGGCAGTGACCATTTCCCTATTGTTATCAATCCCCCTAGCCCCTATAGAGACAATGTTCCATTTAATCCTATGTTAAAATATAACACATCCAAAGCAAAGTGGCAACTATATTCCACAGTTCTAGAGGAAGAACTTTCAGCCCTTCCTCCTGTTCAGAAAGATAATGTTCTTCAGTTGTATTCTACTTTTAAATACGCTATTTTATCTGCTGCCAATAAGACAATTCCCATCAAAAAACCTTATAAAAATAATGCTCCTTCACCGCCTTGGCGGGATGAAGATTTTTCTGTAGCATTTAAGAAGAGAAAGGAAGGTGAAGTAAGATATTCCCACACTATGAATTTTGACAACTATATTTTTTTATAAAAAGAACTGCTGCTGAAACATTAAAATTACTATCTGGGAAGAAAAAGGCTGGATGGCTTAAATTCTGTGAGTCACTGTCGCCTAGGACTCATCCATCATTAGTCTGGAAAAATATAAAAAAAGTCCGATGTTCAGTTTTGGCCTCTGAAACCACAACTTCTAATGAACAGTCTTATTGGCTAGAAAATTTTGCTAGTAATCTTGCTCCTCCTTCAGTACCATTTTACAATGAATGTATAGCATTTTAATCAGAGTCCTTGCACTATCTACATAGTTTTGACTCTCTTTTCTATTATGAGGAATTATATGCTGTTCTTAGTGTCCTTAAAGACTTCACCAGGAATCGATGGAATTCCTTATTCTTTTATTACTAATAGCAGTGAACCTACTAAAGCCCATCTTCTTTCTATTTTGAATTGTATTTACATGTCCGGTATTCCTCCTGAATAATGGAAATCCCAAGTTATTTTACCTATTTACAAACCAGGTAAGCCTTACACTGATCCCTCAAGCTACCGCCCTATTGCTCTTTCTTGTACCATGGCCAAAATTCTTGAACATCTAATAAAAAATCGGTTAGAATGGTTTCTTAAAAGCAAAAACCTTCTAGCAAAAGACCAATTTGGATTCCGAAAGGGCTTAAGCACCATGGATAGATACTGATATTCGTATAGCTTACTCTAAACATGAGTACCTTGTTGGCAAAATATGCTTAATCTGAGTATTCCAGTGAGGATAGTAAATTTTGTCTCTAACTTTCTCTCTTCTAGATCCATTTATATTGATAGTCAAAATTCTCTACTCCCGCCAAGAATTGTATGGAAGGGTCTCCCACAAGGCTCAGTACTTAGTCCTTTGCTCTATTCTATCTGTACTTATGAACTAGAACTTTCTGTTAACTCATTCTGTAACATCCACCAATATGCAGACGATATAGCTATATATATTCATAGTGTCCCCCAACGGATAGGTCTTAAGATGAACATGGACAAAATAAAGATCATGTTCAATGTCCATGTCACACCTGTTTACCTGGGACAAACAGTCCGACTAGGTAAGTCCAACTTCGACCGAGAGGTCAATCGACGGATTCAACTCGGCTGGGCAGCGTTCGGGAAACTACGACACATCTTCTCGTCAGACATACCTCAAAACCTTAAAACGAAATTGTACAACCAGTGCGTGTTGCCAGTGTTGACTTACGGATCTGAGACGTGGTCCTTCACTACTGGCCGTATGAGGAAGCTCAAGGTCGCTCAGGAGCTATGGAGAGGGCTATGCTCGGAGTTTCTCTGTGTGATAAACTTAGAAATGAGGATATTCGCAGTAGAACCAGAGTGACCGACATAGTAAGCTGAAGTGGCAGTGGGCCGGCCATATAGCTCGAAGAACCGACAACCGATGGGGAAGAAAGGTTCTTGAGTAGCAGCCTCGTACCGGTAGGCGAAGTGTAGGGCGACCGCCCACGAGATGGAGTGACGACCTGGTAAGACATGCAGGAAGTCGATGGATGCAGGTGGCTCAGGACCGTGCTTTGTGGCATTCCTTGGGGGAGGCCTATGTTCAGCAGTGGACTTATGAAAGGCTGTAATGATGATGATGATGATGATACAATGCATGCTTGGTTACTGAAAATTCAGGCTTCTAGTTTTATCTTCAACGAAGTTATAGGGGTCGAAAATTACCTGAACTGCTTCAAGAAAATGATGGTACGACTGTGCTGCTTTTTTGCTCGACTTGGCAGGGGCACCGCCGTGCCCCCAGATAAGTTCAACAGTCATTTATCTTTCTGACAATGTGCTTTTT